GAATTCATTTGTACTATCACGAAACGTTATAGTTTCTTCATTTTCAGTGCATGTTTACTTTGACCTACATACATACATTAAATGTAGTTCCTTCAGGACGAATCCCAGTTGGGAAGACGGAGAAAATTTAGAGGGATTTTCGCCCCCAACCCCTTGGGGAGGATTGAATCCCGCCTGGTCGCGAACGCCTAAACTTTTGCCACACGAAAAGTGAGTCACGCGCCCTCCACACTTCCCCTGAGTTGCCCTAATTCCCTTGGCTCATGTATCTCCCGTTTGGCACCGTAAGAAACTGCAGTAGGCGTTGTCTTCTGACCGCACGCGATCTGTCCTTTTCTACAGAGAATAGAAAAAAGTTCAAGTAATTACATATCCATTTGCGCCTCTATAAAAATAGTTTTGTCATATTTGCTGTAGTCTCTAGTGTTTAGCCTTATTTCACAGTGCACCGGAAATAAGTGCATATTTTTCAGAACCGATGTGGCTGATCGTGTGCACCACTGATCGCCAATATGCAGTAGTGAACGAAAAAAATGTTGTTCGAGGGAATGTGTCGTGCGGCTCCCGTGTCACAGTACACATGGGTGATGTCAAGAGAGATGTTACCGTCATATTTATTGGAAGGAACCGAGCGCAGTGTGATCAGTACTGTCAGCGATTGTCAAGATACTGTGGCCCAGCAGTCACCAAAGAGAAGCCAGTCGATATCGCATTCTTGGGTCTGCCGAAGAAGAGGAGAATTTCTGGAGCTGAAGCTCAACTGAACGCAGCATCACGCAGACGAAAACCTTATGTGAAAGAGGTGCCGTAAAGCAAGAAGTAAACTGACGAAGCTCGGGAACATGAGGCCGTATGTGAAGTAAAGCCGTCCTCCAGTTCCGCTGCCATTTCGTCTGAACACGAGGACGTCACTCCGTCAACTTCCTCAGAGCGTGACCATGGCAAGAAGCAGAATGGAGGTAGGTATTAGCTTACAATTTGCCTAATTATGCTCGGGGTGCAGCTTTTTCGTTCTTGTTGCCTTCTGGATGGCTCGGTGACTAACCATGTATGCCGAAATTTTCATCACATCTGGTATTGGTGGTAGCCATCTATGCCACACCTTATTGAATTCTACTTTTCCCCAAGATTTTATACGCCATAGTTTACCACAATCATATACGACGTAGCTCGCTGAATGGTCAAATATGTTTCTTTTGGCAGAGGTTTTTCAGGCCTTACGGAAATGTCTGTTCAGCTCATTTCTCATTTTCTTTGCTTAACAGGCAATGCTGAAAAGAAAATATTGGGCTGTTTTTAAACCGATAAGTTAAAATGGTGAGGGGATCTAATCGCGTTCGCAAAATGGCGCTGGTCCGCACCCAAAGAAACTAAAGTTCGCGATTCGTCCACGCTAAGAACAAAGGTCAAAAAAAAGGGAAAACTGCCTAGTTTAGAGAAAGGCGAACGTTCTGATTGAATTTAAAGATTTTGATTTAAAGATTTGGCTTGCTGATCTAGCATGGTCAGGTCTTGGGCGCAGTTGGCGTGTACTCCACCCGACTGTCTAATCACTCGCCGCAGGTCGATACGCGGCGAGTAATTAGATAGAAGAGAGAGCATTAGCGTCGAAGAGTGAAGTCAATGCGAAAAGAAACGGGCAGGAAATGGTCCCATTTCTAGGGTTCTGGCCGTTTCTCGTTGGTTTTTCCTATTTGTATTGTACTTTTTTATTGTACTTCAATTTTTAAATGTCGCCGATTATGCAATTGATCTATTAAAGGTGGATTTTAACGAGAAGCGCTTTAATTGAAATCACACCGCGTAAAGTGGCCAGTGGATACAAAGAAGAAAAAGAGCGCTAGAATAAATAGCCAAGAATCCGAGTAATGGGCTGGTTGGCTTTTTGCCATTGATTTGTGCGACTTGAGCCCTCAGTCGCTGCTGCCGCGTTTTCCTACGCGTACGCCTGCCCGCTCTAACTAAATGGCAAGTAGAGACGGCGCCAAGTGTGCCGTTGCCACAGTGGCGCCCGCGATGAAGGCACGCTGAATCGCCGCAGGCATATCCATTCGATGGCAATATGCGTGTCGTGGTGTGCACCCTTAGGATGACCGCGTGTCTCTGCACTTGGTAGTTTGGAATCCTTCATGTTGCACGCTGTCTCTACCGCATCTATCGCATTGTCTCTATCGCGATTTCAGTCAGAGTCATGCTCACAAATTTGTGGGGAACAGCTACCTAAAAGTCTTTCTCACTTCTTCTCTTACTCTGAATTGTTTTCATTCTCCTTTTCAGATGTGGGCTTTATTGTGCCGCAAAGTTTCTTTGCGGAGTTACTGCGATCCCTCAAGAATCTGCGTGGTGAATGTCGCAGCCGGTTCGACCGTCTTGACGATCAACTGGATGATTTGGCTGGTCGAGTAAGCGCTGTTGAAGAGATCATTCAAGAAGGCAACGCTTTCTTTTTGAAAGTGGACAACTCAAGCCCATCGTCATCTCATCCGCAGCACGCTGGTGATACGGGTATCAACACACTGCTGGGATCGCCCCTTAATGGACAGACTTCGAGTAGGTGTCTTTATTTGTTAGTTAATTTTCATTTTTTTTCTGGTTTTCTTCCGTATTTCTGAGTATCTTGTTAAATTTGAGAAAGCTCATTGCGTACATAAAAACTTGCTCGCAGTTAAATGCACATACTCTGTTTCCGCGACAATACCGTTATTGCTAAAATAGTAGCAATTTCGGTATCAAATTGTAACGAGAGTTTCAAAAGAGTACGTGGTATTTTGGGCGTTGCTGAAGATTGCCGTAGTCTGAAAGATTGGAGTTGATAGAAAATATCTAGGTACGTGTGATGATCTGTTTCCAGAGCTACAGTACCCTTATCCCCTACTGAGTGAGACAGATGTGATAATGCTTCAGAAAGAAAGCAAGACGATCACCTCTTTTGCAAGGAAGGTGAGCAAATAGTACACTAATGAAAAAGTCGAATGTTCAGATTAATAATATCTTTTTTTTTTCGAGGAACATTCATATTTCCTGGTTTTCTTATGAGTACTATTGTCGTTCTTTCAGGTTGATCGCGTACTCTTTGCTAATGATTCTGATAAGGATAGTCCGATTGATGCTCGTGCTGATAAGGAGAAGGTCAGTCAGAGGCTTTAAGTGGCTGTTGGGGTTTACGAGCTGACGAGTGTGGTTCACTAGGACAGAAAGCGACTTTTTCGCGTTTCGCAGCGCGAAACATTTTTCGCTGCGGGAACCTCAGGTCCACCGCTGATCATCAGTGGACCCGAGGTTCCCGCAGCGAAAAATCAGTGGACCCGAGATTCCCGCAGCGAAAATGTTTCGCGCTGCGAAACGCGAAAAAGTCGCTTTCTGTCCTAGTGAACCACACCCCGAGCTGATTTGTGGATGCGTTGATGCTTGTGGTAGAGTTGAGTGGTTGAGTTTTATTCCGGAAAACTT